GAGAGATGGAGGCAGTGAGCAAGGCAGAGTCTTAGAAAGATAGAGGCAACAAGCTAGGTAGAGTCTCAGAGAGATGGAGGCAATCGGCTGTGAGAGAGAGAGAGAGAGAGAGAGGGAGGCGGCGCTGAAGGTTAACAGAGGAAGACGAAGGGCTTTAGGACTGGGAGTTTATATATATATATATATATATATATATATATTATTTATTTATTTATTTATTTATTTTTTTAACAAGTATAACGGGGACGGGGTGGGGCAAGGGTAAGTCTATCCCGCATGGGTTTATACGGGTATTTTCGTATAAGTCCACCGTCCAATACGTATAGTCTATCCCCGATCCAAATGGGGCGGGTTTGGATAAATACCCGTTTTTTTCCGGTCCACTGCCATCCCTAATCCTTCAATCCGGATCACATTGCATTGGGTTGAATTGAGTTCGAATTCAAATCCAATCCAATCCAATCCTCCCATGGTGATCCAAACACCACCTAAGTGTTGCGCACGTATAAACCTCAGGGAGTTTGTGTGTAGTATTTCAAATGTCAGGGGTATTAGTGATTAAATAACAAATGTTAGAGAGTTTGAGTGTAATTCTCCCTAAATATTATTTCCTCACATAAACAACAAAACTAATTTGGTAAACAACTATCTAAGCCTCTAAAATCAGATCAACATCCTAATCCGCCTCAAAACACAACTCCACATGCTCACCAAGATTTGTATCCTCTTTAATACCAAAATCTAAATACAATTAGAGGAAGGAATGAGCAAAACTAACACGTTAAGAAAACTTTATCAAACCTAAACAAGGTTTAGAAATAAATGAAATAAGTATATCTCAATTTATAAAACAACACATATAGCTTTTCAAGTAAAACATGTGGCGTTTGATAACAATATCAAGTTTTTGATACGTATAAGAAAATTCATTATAAAATGGATCTTCAATAAACAATAGCTCATAATAGAAATATTTTATATACGCAAGTTAATTAACAAAAATTCACACATTGCATTTATCTATCCCACACACATGCACACTAATCTTCCAACCAATCCCCATAGGGCCACAACGGTTTAGGAAACATATATACTGGCCACATTAGAATTTAACAAAATCTTTACATAAATAGTACACTAACTCTTAACCTCAATCCACATGAACGAATAGTGTGAATTCTTAGAACCTCACAAGGAACTAAGCAACACCACTACAAGTGATAGGCAATCTTCAAATCTCTCGAGGTAAAAAACTCATATAAGCACTATGCAATATAAGTTTGAGTGCATTCAAGCTCATCACACTCATCCAGACAAAGAGATATTAATTATACTTTTCAATAAAATCCACGTGCATCACAAATTTCAGTTCCACAATTTTCAAAATAAAGGAAACTTCAATAACAACATGCAAGATATCACCAAGAAACATTTTTGCTTCTAATTGTTGCTTTTTGAAATCTGATTTTTGCTTTGTTTCTATTTGTAATTTATGTTTCCAAAAATTAATAACTACAAAATTACAAATATGTGTGTTTACCCAATTTTCTATTTGATTATTTTGGACAGAATTCGACCAGAATATTACCCTCACTTTGGCCTTCTGCAAAGTATTGGGTAGAAAGATGAAATATCATAATTCCTACCCTGTCGAGTAGGGTGAACACTATGTTACCCATTTAGCTTTTGGCTCGGCATTGGCATGTGGCTGTCTTGCCCAAAAAAACCCATGCCTTAGCCAAATTGAGTTGTGCTTGGTGAAACAAACTCTTAGTACAAAGTTGGCTTCCTAAGAACTTGGACGTGCATTTTGTTGGGTTACAAAGTGGTTCAGTAAAGGCTCAAGTGACATGCAATGACTATGCCCCTAGCTCAAGTTACTATGACTTATTGGCTTAGAGTATGTTTGTTGCTGCCAATAGGATTTTGCTCACTAACGTTATTACAGGGAGTGTCAGACCAACTTCCCTAGGGACCTCTATGCTCTTGAGCCTTGACACACCAAAGTAAGACACACCCCCAACAAATGTTTGCTATGGACGGAGGCAAAGCATTTCAAAGTTCGAGACCCGAGATGCGGGATCGATGATTGGTGGGACCCATCGTTGACGGAAAGTCTCATGCATAGTGAGGGAGGCAATGCATGCATGAGCACGTTAAGCATGACCAGTGGATAGATTGAAGCCCCATGCATAGCTAAAGAAGGCAACTCATGCATGAGCACGTTGGACACAAGCAAAGCTAACTGGTGGGCTTGAATTGTAGGGCATTGCTAACTTGGAAGACCAAGTCATGGGCTGGGCATGAAAGCAAGACAAATCAGGTGTTATGGGATTTCAAGGAAATCATGTGCACAACATGTGAAGTGGTTCCAAATAGATGAGGCATGTATACTATAGATGGTGGTGGTTCTAGACGGTTGTCAGCATGTGCACAACATGAGAGAAATTGCTGACATGTGCACACATCATGCACAACAGTTATGGGCAGTTGCTGATTGGGTCAGCCAACAGTTGCAACTGCCCCTTGCCATGATCAGCACTGTGAGGGAGTGGTAGAGGGACTTGACTATGATTAGCAGGTTGTGAGAAGCTTTTGTTGGCGAATTTGACTAGTGTTTTGCATTGCCTAGGCGATTGGGTTTGTAACCACCACATTGTATGCTATTTATAGGTATGCTAGGGTCTGCAAATGCAATAAAGAGAGTTTGGACACGTTTTGTAAGCAAACCCCTAGCCGGTTTCCTTTAGGCTTACTGAGAAGTAAAAAGTTTGGTCATTTAGTCTATAAAGTTTGTGTGTTTGCTCATATTCTGTTCGTGTGTGCATTTTTGTGAGTATTTGAGTGCATTGGTTGAGACCGTGTGTTGGATCCTAGCGCCATCATGAAACAAAATTCAAGTGAAAATTTAACCCCATGACACCTAATTAGAGGGATGCAAATATCTCCTTGTCCCATCCAATCCTCCAGTTTGGTAAACAAAATGTCAAGTGTTGGCCTTATGGACCAACTGAATTTAGGAAAAATTTCATCAACACCCCCTTCAGTTTGGTCTAAATTAAATGACATTCTCACCCGATTCTGAAACTTCACTGCACTCCTTTCTGATTTATACTTTCAAATCAAAGACACTTCCTTAACGGTAATTTTTAACTCTGTCAGTACAAAAAGTTATAGTTTGACTATAAATTTTCTAAAAGTGTCAAAACTACCATCTTTATGTAAATATACAAAAATGCCCTTAACTCTTTTCCTATTATATATACCATACCTTTTATTGTTTGTAAATGTCCAAAACGTTCTGGGGTTGTTGGAAGTCATAGGGGACTGAAGACAGTCATCATTCTTTAACTCGTTCTCCACAGAGATCGATCACTACCTAAGTTGGTAAAAAAAAAATTATTTTTTTCTTGCAGATTTGTAAATATTTTTCATGCTGATATTTTTAAGTTTTTTCATGCATTTTTTTTTAATTTTTTTTCATGCAGTTTTATTTAATTTTTTTTTTTCATGCAGATAGTTTTAATTTTTTTCATGCAAAAAATTTAAAATTTTTTTCATCCAAAACACTCGTTAGACTTTTAAGTCATTAAGTCCATTTTGTTATAAGTTGTTAGGTAAGGGTACACTTTTCGGTTTCTTATTTTCTCATATTACCTAAGTTTTCTCTATGGTATATTTTTTGTTGTTTGTTATAATTTACAGGGTTTTAAATTTATTTTATATTTAAAAATAATTTTTCAATAATAAAATTATGATCAATAAAATCAATGTTAAAATTTTATTCATTTCTAACTTTTCTATTATTGTCTGTTCTCTACAATGTCACTTGCCCACACTTAATACATCACCCTTCATATATAAAATTTAAATATTATTTGATAAAATTTAATATTAATTAAATAAATTTGGTCTTAAATTTAAATATTAATTTGGTTTTAATTTAATAAAATTAAATATTAATTTAGTGTTGATTTCATAAAATTTAATGTAAATTGAATAAATTTAAATGTTGCTTTAATAAAATTGAATGTTCATTTGGTGTTAAATTAAATAACTAACATTAATTTGATAAGGTTAAATGTTAAATTAATAGAATTTAATATTCCATTTAATATATTAAATTTTTTGACCAAAAAAATGTATATATTTAATTTTAATTTAATAAAATTAAATGTCAATTTGGTGTTGATTTGATGAAATTAAATAATAATTTAATGTTAAATTAAAGAAATAATATTAATTTGATGAAATAAAATATTAAATTAATATAACTAAATGCTAATTTGATAAAATTAAATATCAATTTGTATTGATTTGATGAGATGAAATGTTAATTTAGTTTAAATTAAATAAATAACATTAATTTGATAAAATTAAATATTAAATTGATGAATCTAAAGTTTAATATAGTAGAACTAAAAGGGACTACATTGAAATTTTAGAATTACGATGGGTATTGTTAAAGATAGGTCTATTTATAGGTGGCGTCGTTGAAATTATATCTATTTACAAGGAATGTGGATAAAATTTATCCTATAAAATATTCATAGGTATTTTTATAAATTAACAATCGCCGTTAATGCCGTAATCCGACAAATACTAACAGGAAATTTCAGAATTGAGAGGAAGTGTCATTGAATTTAAACCTAATTATAGAGGGGGGTGCGAATAAAATTTTCCCTTGAATTTAATGCATGCTAAAGTGACATTATTTTTATGTTCATTTACCATGATGCCCTTAATGGAGGCAATCTGGTTCGTTAAAAGGGGACAATTTGATATATTATTCTGTAATTTTGTTGATAGGAAAGCTTATTCAACACCACACATGGGTTATTAAGAAACACTGCAGAAGGATAAATGGGTAAATTAACTACGGGCAATGAATTGAATCAAACGAAGGATTTGTAGGACCCGAAAATTTTTGACCCAATCCAACCATGTAATCCTATTTTCCGGTGAAACAAACACCCCCTCCCTCCATGTACTAGTACAGGCGAAGGGGATGATGTTAGAAGCCCCACTTATGGCTACTCATATTTACATTAACCTCAATCTCAGTTCCACAGCTACTCTCCTCCTGCCTCTTTCTGTCTCATTTCCAAAGCCAAGAACCAAAATAAAGCCATGGAAGCTTAGACCTGTTGTTGCTTCTTCTTCTTCGTATTCGTCTTCTTCATGGTCTCAAAATCAAATCGTCGGTGGGCTATTGTTGCCACCAGACGAGGACAACTACACTAACAGCAAAAAACCCGGGAGGGTCTCACCAAGAAAGAAGAGAGAGAGGGTTTTCTTCTTGGATGTTAATCCTCTCTGTTACAAAGGAAGCACTCCAAGCTTGCACGCTTTTGCTCATTGGATTTCTCTTTTCTTCTCTCAGGTCAGCCACACTGACCCTGTCATTGCCGTAAGCTCCTCTCTCTCTCTCTCTCTCCTCTCTCTCACATATTTATATATAATAAGATATATATTCTATACAATAACGTATGTTACAATTCAAATATAAAAAATAAACAAAATGATTTTTACTATTTGTGATTGAAATTGACGGTTAATATTAGAATCGTAAATTTAATGGAAAAAATAGGCTCTAATGGTGTGATCGGAGTGATTTTTTAAAAGAAGTCGGACGAATTATTCCACATAAGTACTTTAATGTTTGAAACCGTCCACCATTACCACCACCCCCACCACCACTGCCACACGCCACCACCACTATCACTGCCACCACCATTATCGCCGCCATTGCTGCCACCATTGCCGCCACCCCCACTGTTGTCGCCGCCGCCACCACTGTTGTCGCCGCTGCCGCCACCACCACCACAAACACCGCTGTCACTGTCTCCGCTGCCACCACCATAGCCACAGCCACCATGATCATTGCCACCCACCATAACCATCGCCGTCTTCTATCACTACCACTGACGCCCACCACCTCTCTCCCGTACTATGACCGATGCTTAAATTTATTTATCACTCCTCTATATTTGTGATTTGATTTTAGATATGAATACAAATATGTTTATTGTTTATCATTTTTTATTATTCTGTGCCTTTAAGCACAAACAATAACTAGTATATAATAAGATAGCTAGGATTTTGAACTTATGAAATATATTTTCCTCCCAAATTTCACACTTTTCCAACACAAACACTCTATAACACATAGCTACACACTCCAACACACACACTCATTATATACACACTCCAACTTTACATATACTAGTCACAGTATCGCTAGTATATATATATACACACGAGCACACACACACACACACATGTATGTATGGGGTATATTTTCTCCCAAAATTTCACACTTTTCCCCTCAAATTTCACAAACCCAACAACAACACTCCACAACACATAGCTACAGACACTCCAACACACACTCAGTATATACACACTCCAATTGTACATACACTCCAGTTCGATTCTGTAAGCATCTTTTTCTTTGACATGATACATATGACACGGAGGTGTGCTCGTGTTATATGTGTGTATTTGGCAATTCAGGTTTTTAGTTCACACACTGGAATGGAAAATGGAAGTTGTATGTTGTTTACTGCCTATGACCTGTGTTGTTGTTTACCAGTTAGCGTTCATTTTCATCAATGCAAAATGGCTGCTATGAGAGAGAAATTCGAGGTTAATGGACTGATCTTGATGCTCTTGAAAATTGAAATTAAGTGGTTAGTCTTGGGTTGTAAAGATAAATAACAGTCAATTTCATAAAGGTAAAAAAATTTATTTTATCTTGACACTTGAAGAATTCTGTTTTCTGCTCAACATGAATTATGATTCACGTGTTTCAAAATCTTAAGTTATACAGGAAAATTTAATTACTCAATTGTATCAGCAATGTGCAAGTTAGATTTTTGGCGAACCTTATTATAGGATAGTGGGAAACTGATACATAATCTTTATATCTCACACTAATAGCCAGCAATAGACCGGTAGTTAGTCCCATCTATGTGTTAGTTTAAAAAAGAGAAAGCTCAATTTTTTGTTTTGAAGACGAGCATAAAACCTATAAAACCCAGGAAATTGAAAGCTAATTTAGTATCAATGGTCTTTTTGATTTTCTTGTTTCCCAGAGGGTTCACAGTTCAACACACCTTTAAGCAGATATGCTTGTGAAAGATTAATTTATTTTGCGCCCCGACACTATCTTAATATTTAGCTACTGCTTGGATTAGCAAGTTGATTGAGGTGCATATTTCAAATCCATTGGTAGCATGTGTCCATGTCTGTCCCTATGAAAGTACTCTTCAGGTTCTGGTTTTGCTTATGCCAAAATCTTAAGTGTTATCAAAGAATTTTCACTCAGGCAAACCTATTTCTGTGTGACTTCTTTTAAAACATGCAAAAGGGGATTTTTCATCTCAGCACCTTGCACCTTTGAATAGTGTGTCTTCTCCAACATCATCTATTTGCTTCAGTACTATTTCATTTCGATCACAAAAGGAAGTTTTGGGTTTAAAGTTCCAATAGTAAAAAACCACCTTCCTCAATTTCTCTGAGAAGTTATTTTGGTAGGATATCAAATCTGGCTGTTTATGCTCTTTTCGATTTTACCAATTTGTTATATCAGGACACTGCACTTATGTAGGGCTGTTAATCAAACTGAGCTACTCGAGTTTGGCTTAAGTTCGGCTCGGGTTCGGCTCATTCAAGCTCGGTTCGTTTTCTACACGAGTCCGAACTTGAACAAGTTTTTAGGCTCGTTTAGAAAACAAGCTCTACAAGTTTGGCTCAAACTCAATAGGCTCGACTCGTTTATGTGCAAATACTTAGGTTGACTTGTTTTTGGCTCGTTCAGGCTCGACTTGTTTCCTAAACGATCAAACTTGAACAATTTTTAGGCTAGATTAAGACACAAGCTTTTCAAGTTCAACTTGAACTCGGCTCGGGCTCGTTCGACTAACAGCCCTACACTTATGGCATTATTTTCCGTATTGTAATTTCATAAACCAGTTATGTGCAGAATGGTCTGGATATGACCTTTTGAACTCATTTATTGGTGTGCAGGTGATTGATGGCGAAAGATGTAATGAGTATCGCAGGCAGTTATTGCCATCGTATAAAGCACATAGGAGGAAATTCTTACAGAAATTTTCGACTACACTGAGATCAAAGAGTCCTGTCAGAAGATCGCATCAAGTCATATCAGATGTTCTGAGGAAATGCAATGTGCCGGTGGGTGAACCTTCTTATATATCACTCCTGGTTCTTTCTGATTGTATAATATAACTCCAACTTGTATTTCATATTGCATCTGCAATTTGTCGTAGCTCTTCCTGCACAATATATGCTTTGTTAAGATTGGGAAAATATCACTCATCCACGTCTATATCTGTAAGGCGGACCAATTATAAGCATTTTGTTTTACTAAGATAAGGATAATTAGTAAACTTAGATGACTAAAACTTAATACTCTTATCTTATCTTATGGCTTATAAGTAAAAAATGTCCACTAATAGGCACCAAAAGAAGGGGAGACACAACCCATGTTACAGAGACATATGCAAGAGAGAATCTTCTACGTATACAGGAAGGTGCTAATCTCAAAGAACATTTTGAAAGAATCTAAGGGCAAATGAAACATCTCAAGTTGAAAATACGATACACTCTGAAAATTATTTGCACTTTGGGAATAGGAAACTTTTCTCCCTCACAGTAGTTCATATTTCTATACCTCTAAATACCTACTTTAAAAGTATAATGGAGCCACCTCTGATGCTGTACTACCTAAGCCTCAAACATACCCACACTCCATGAGACAGACCTTGGCATCACCGAGACCAATAGGGGCAAACCCCATAGCTTTTAAGAAACCCTCTGCTATGGAAATGGATCACTGACACGCTCTGCCACTTGTTACACATGCAACACGAAACTTCCAGAATTTCCTATTTGTTTTCACACAATTAATGTTGAGAATACCTTCAGTCACTGCAATCTATTCAAAGAAGTCACCTTTAAAGGGGCCTTGATTTGTCCTTCATTTTGGATACACATCAATTTGTTTTACAAATTGGGGCATACTAATTAGTGTGTGTTTACCATATGCCTACTTATATTTATGAATCTGGCCACACATGTGTGTGTGGTTTTTTTTTTTTTTTTTTTTTGGGGGGGGGGCTGGTACAGTTTCAACTTGGGTCCTAAGGAAGCTAGGAAACAACATGTATTCCAGTCGATCATTCTGGACTGTACAAATGAAAAGGACTGCCTCGAGCTTTCAGACTGCACGGACTCTGGGGAAAACAATTTGATGAAGTCATTGGTTTAGAACCTTCCTTTTGTTTTAATAGTTATTCAATAGTGGACATATATAAGAGTAATGTCAGGCCTTTCTAGCATGGTTCAAAGTCTAGACTAATACTGATACAACTCAGCCATTTGGATTTGCCTCGGCACCTTCCGATCCAATACCAACTCATGTTCCATGTAAACGACAAGTCTAGGCCGAGTTGTTTCTTAGTTAACCCTAAGTTGTCCTAATCATCATCGTCGAATTGGTCGATACTCTTCCGTGATGCTGTAATATGACCTAAATCTCTCATTATGTTCCAATGTTTCTTCTATGTAGCATTTTGTGTTGATCACTCGATATCATTTCACGACATCGTGACAACAGTCCTCATAAGTCAATGGCCAATACTGTGACTTTGGACCATGCTTTCCAGGATGGATTGCCTTGTATCTTTACCTAATTGTGACCTACCAATTGCCACCCAAAGCACTGCTTAATTCTTTTCATGAGCAATTGCTATTGCACCTTATGGGCCACTGAGTATCTATACTTTGAACACATTTTTTCTACATCATGAAACAAACTTTGGCCACAAATCAGCATTCGACATTACCATGAGTTAATTTAGCAAGGAAAAAGGTTAAAGATGTTATGGTTGAAGCCCATGAAGCAGATGATGTTGCCATGCAGGTTGTGAGAATTGAAGCCCATGAAGCAGATGATGTTGTAGCTACGCTTGTAGGACAAGTTCTACAAAGGGGATATCGAGTTGTTATTGCCTCTCCTGATAAAGATTTTAAGCAGCTCATATCTGAAGATGTGCAAATTGTTATGCCTATGCCAGAGTTTGATAGATGGTCCTTTTATACCTTAAAGCATTACGTGGCTCAGTACAATTGTGATCCACAGTCTGATTTGAGTCTTAGTAAGTGTGCTACAATTCTAAATTTTTAACCTTAAAGCTGCCATAACTTTTTGTGATGTGGGTACATAGATTTTATAAATTAGAGCTGTCCAGCATTTTGATTGCAGCTGCATGTAAACTCAACCACTAAATTAGAGCTGAGACAGGCCCAATGAAGACAAAACTCAAAAAAAATAAAATAAAGGGACAAATGCAAGATTTCAGTACAATTTCAATTCTGGGCCAATAAAAGGAGTTACAAAGTTAGTGAAACATCTGACCAGTTTCTATGATTTTTTCTAAATCAAGACGACATCATGTAGGGTGCATTTTGGGTGATGAAGTTGATGGTATTCCTGGGATTCAGCATGTGGTTACTGGTTTTGGGCGAAAAACTGCCCTAAAACTCCTAAAAAAGCATGGTTCACTGGAAAATTTACTGAATGCCGCATCAGTAAGAACGGTGGGGAGACAATATGCACAAGATGCCCTTACAAAGCATGCTGATTACCTGCGAAGGAATTACAAAGTTCTTGCCCTGAGGAGGTAATGTGTTTCCTTGACTTGCCTTCAAGACAATCACTTCTTCAATCCAATTCTCTGTTATCTGTTCCTTTCTCATTCCCAATTCTGGTACTTAATGTGCCTGGGCAATACCATTCAGGGATGTTGATGTTCATCTTCAGCCAGAGTGGTTGTCTGAGAGAGATACGCTGAATGATTCAGTAATTTTGTCCAACTTCATAAATTCGTTGGGAGAAACCCAGTGTCTCAATCAGCAATATGGATCTTATCCAAATGGTTGAGCTCCCAATTGTAAGTGCTTTGATTTTGTCCAAAGGTCTTTGCCAGACAACTTCTTTCTTCCCTTTATTATGTTGCTGGTACATTGTAAAACACTCCTGGCCTTCCTATGGTTAAATTATTGCATTATGTTCAATCATGATATAAGAAATCAAGATGCATTTGACGTAATGGTGTGGCTTCTGATTTAGGTTTGAGTTTTCGTTGATTGCAAATCACTGCTAACTCTTAAGTGATCTTAGCTAGGCCAATCATTTGAATTGGATGAAAAACCAGCCAAATGCTTAATGTCTAAAAGCACATTAACTTCAAAGATTGGTTTTTTGTACTTCAACAGTCATATGAAGTCCACCCATTACAAAATGGTTACACATGGCAAAACACCTCTTTCGATGCTTCATATTTCTGTTGGGAGGTTTGATACTATGGACCGTTTCAATTGACCCGTAATACATTGTCAAAAATCTGCTGTGTTCGAATTATTTAACGATTATAGAAATAAAAAGAGCGTTATTTGTTCATCCAAAATGAAGAACATTTTCCTTGAAACATATGTTATGTCTTATGGAGTCATGATAACTGTGTTCATATGTTAAGATCTGAAGTTTAGTTTTGTTGGAAATTAAATTTGTTACGGTTTGAATCTCAAAGTAGTTTATGCTAATAAATTAGTCCAAAATAAATCTGTACTATTCCCTGTATGATTTGAATAATGTTTAGAAAACATCAATGGCATATTGCTGATTTTTTCCAGAGCTTGCAGATTTTATGATAGAGTTGCAAAATATTGTAAAACCTAGCATAAGTCGATGTACGATCACTTGTTGATTGCAATCAATGTTAATTATACTTATGAGTAGTGGAATTAGACTAGTACGCCTCGGACACTTCTTCTGTGTTGGTTTAGCAAAACCGCAGACTTGAAATGATGTTTTCCACTTCTATATGCTTAAAAGTCGACTAGAAAATGCCTATTTTCTTACAAGATTGTCTGAAGAAGATTTTCTAATCATTTATTTTAGTGCTTAGAGATATTTTCTTCTGTTTATTCCTGTGTATCGACCACAAATTACTATGGATTTTTCATGTAAACACGTATACAAACATTTGAATATTAGTGTCCTGAATTTGAGAGTTGCCCTTGCGTCACACCCATTTGAAGGGAAGCAAAGAAAATTAACTCTTTATTTCTTTTAGTACATGAAAAAAGACCAAAATTAACTCATAACACTTGATAGGTTACTGTCATTTGTAGGCTGAATCTTACACTTGTAATGTCAACATGTCCAGATTGAGATACGATGCATGAAATCAAAGAGCGCCAAGTACCGGTTGCCATGGGAGCGTCTTTAAGATGGGTCCCATCACCTGTCCGAGAGCAGAAGTTTCTTGAAAATACAAGATGTGGGAGAGGACAAATTGCTGGTCGAAGCTCAAATATACAGATTCAGTGTAAGTACCAATCACATTTGTTTCAGTACCCCCCCCCCCCCCCTCTCTCTAATATATTTGTATTCTGGGTTGGCATCAGCAAAGGGGTACATTCATAGGACACTGCAGCGATGCAGGTTTCCAGACCTTACTCATTTATGGTTGGAGGAATCTACCAGTGAGGCTGTATGGGGGGTCATATGCAACTCAATTTTTGGCTGCAACTGTTTGAAGGATCACAAACAGTAAATTCCACTAATTCCCACAGATCACAAAAAGTATTACCCCTTTTTTTTTTTATATGAAATGCATATATATTCACAGGTGTGTGAACTAAGGTGAGACAGTAATGCCTACTATAATATATACTTTAGTAGTTCTTATACACAATATTTGGAAGTTGGTTGATAAGGAAGAGGTTATGCAATGGCTTTAATGTTTCTTTGAAACTTTAGTTTCCACAGCCTTTTCACCAGTATTAATGTTTTTGTAGGTCATTGCATGAGTTGTTGCAGATGTCAAAATGGGTGATTCATACATCAGTCATTGCATGATTATTGTTTGATTCTGTAACTGGTTGTATTGACAATATGGCGTCTGTGAGTTTGCAACTTTGCATAGTAAATTAGTGCCTCTTAAGATGATTGATTTGGAGTATCTGCGGCGACCAAAATGTTTCCTTCTTTGCCATAAGGAAAGAGGGCCAAGTTTGAAATCTGAGGTGTGTTTTTACTTTTTTGCCCTCGAGGAGGTAAAATACTTGAAGTATGTTGTCATTTACAATGCCAAAGAAATTTATAAGTCCCTATAACCTGGGTGGGTTTGGATCCTCTTTTAGTATAAAAATTCTTGTTTTTGTTTTGGTCTAAATCACTCACCATTACCTTTTAAGTTATTGGGTTCCACCAGTAATGGTGTGTGATTGAAATTCGGAAAAGTTGTGGAATTTCCCAATTGAGAGGGTTCGGATCCATGTTATTATTGAGAGTGAAAAGTGCATGGGGGCACCATGGTCCGAGCATTTCTTTCAAAGGAAAAAGAACAAATGTTTTGGCACCTCAAGTATATCTAATCACAAGGCATGATTATAAACATGAATCATAAACCCCGACAATAAGTAAAAAGATGTACTCGAAATATTTCTATGGGAAAGAAATTTGGTAGATAAACAAATAGATGCATTGGTTTGGTCCTTACTAGACTGATAAAAAAAAAAAGACAAAAAATAGGGACTAAATGGTGTGAAGGAGCTAATAACGCTAATATTTTCAATCCTCTACAACTTGTATTTGTGCAGGGGTGCTAAGATTTTCCCTTTATCTTCTAGTATCCGTGCAGGTCTTGAGCAATGAATGTCACAGCACGACTCGGATAATTATTTGAAATTTTGAGTATAAACCAGTTATAGGACAACTTCAGGGGGTTAAATTGGAGTTTATGCAAGTCAAAGAAGTTGTTTGTTACACAGTGTATATCACATTTCACACCTCTTTCCAAAATTGGAGAAGATTTACATCTATAAACCATGAGTTTCAGTGTCACTTGCCTCATACATCCCATGTTTAATCGATGCACTTGATTTGTTGGTTATTGTTTGCATCCAATGTTTAGTTTAAGTCATGAGTTCAAGTGATGCGTGATTGGTACAATTTTCCGTTACACAAGGGAAAAAAAACCCAGGTACGAGGAAGCTGGACTAGTACAACCAAAAAACACCGACTTAAAACCACAATCATACACAAAAACAGCACTGCTTTTACGAAATACAATCATTCAACTCCAAGATATTACAGATACACAGTCATCCTACGAATTGTAAGCAAGCAAGAAACAAAGGACCTCTATTGCAAACCAAAGGCGAAACACTACAAACCCGACTCATGTCCAGTCTTCCTAGGGTAATTGCATGACCCTGAAATCAGGAACGATAGTGAATTCTCTGGGTCTTCAAAAGGTGGTGGAGGGAACTCATTAAACCCGGTAACATTGCATGTATCAAAGTTTAAAGGCATGAAGTAAGCAGTAGGGTCATCTACACCCCCTTTCACATATGTAGCATTTTGAACCTCACTTCCACTACGAGCATTTGAGCCAAAGCTGAAACCTATTTGTCCAACCTTACTTGTTCCTTCATTACTATCTCCTTGATCAGAGGTTCCAGCTGATCCTTTAGTTTCGTCTAGGGGAATGGCAGGAGTGTGGCCCTGGAAAAGAGAAATGTGTCCGAAAAGCTTGTCCTTCCTTGAGAAGGTTGTTCCACATGAACAAAGCCACTTATCTCGGCCACAATGCTTCTCATGTGTTTTAAGATCTGCAATAACTGAAAACTTCTTGGTGTTGCATCGACTGCAAATGTAACTTTTGTCACAATGGGTTCTCTTATAATGGTTTTTCACACATAAGATAGTCTTCAGGGGCTGAAACTTCTTGTGATCTTTATTCCGCTTGCAACCAACATAAGGACAGGAATAACGCTTAATAAGCACAGGCTCAGAGCTGGGTTCCTTGTTTGGCTTTGCGAGTGCTGCCGGAGTCTTGTACTCATCCCCATGACCTCTCATGTGCATCCGCAAATTGGCATCCCTCTTGAATCCCTTTCCACATATTGTGCAAAAGTGGGTGTGAGGAGCAAGAATTTCCTCTTTTTCTAGTTGCAAGATTTCATAGGAACCCGGGGGTAGGTTCTCTCCTTCATCACCATCTTCTTCGTCTTTTGATTCATGTTCCTCAAAATTATAGTTTTGTTCAGGTCCACTATTGCCTGTTAGATCAACCTGGTTGGGCTGATCTTCTTCTACCTTGTGTACACCATTACTATGTGGCAGCACTCCGCTATTCAAACCAGGTCCCGAAGGAAATATGACATCACCTAGGTGCCCAAGCTTGCCAACAGTTGGACTCGCTGTGGAAAGGCTATGCTTGACTGATGGGAGAAGACTGCCTGCAGTGGAGATCAACTGGACTATAATAGAAGTGAGATCAGCAGTAACGAGCTGTTGCTGCTGAGCAACAAGTTCATCTGAACGGCCTACTACTTGTCCCCTCCTGCCAACAATCAAATGCACCAAATCCTGGAGTTGATGGATCTTCTGCTCCAGGAAAGAAAGACTGTTTAGCATCACTCTTGGATCCCACTCTTGGGTTCTCCTTGGGTCACTAGTATTCATTTGATCATCTTGTTGACCTGGGATATTTGTTTGGTTATTGCAAATAATTGGATTTTCAGAAGGGCGGGTGAATTCAGGGAATTGCTGTTCAATCCTCATGCCATATTCAAGAAGTGAGGAGTCTTCTTCCCACTTTTGCTGACACTGCTGCAAATTTAAATTGGTGAAAGATTGGTGATCTGGGGGGAGTTTTTTGGGCAATTCATTTCCAGAGGAAGTAGACTTTGCCCACATATCGGTGGATACATTCTTCTTAAGATCCATTTTGAAATCCTGGGCCGCAAAACAGGCATAAAATCAAAAATTGCATCACTATTCCAGGCAGAATCGCGTTTGGTTTTTTTTTTTTTTTGGGGGGGGGGGGGGATACAAAAAAAATCCCATACACGATCTTATGTTAAATATAACATGAAAACCACTGCAAATGAATCCCTCACATTAACAGATCCACCATTAATTTACTAATCTCCAGCCCTAATCATCAATCAGTACAAGCATTTTCGTATAATAACCATACTTTTTCAGCAAAAATAAAAACCAAAAAAGGGGGATAAACTTGAAATCCAATTTACAACTTACTCATACCAATTCACAAACCCCCAACTTACAACTACTCAATCAACTAATCCACTTCAAAGTAAAAAATATTCATAAATTTACGTCGTCCTTGAAAATTGATTTTTCTTCAATCTTAATGGAGATAAGCCAAAGATCCTACTAATAATTCCCCAATCCTGAAATCCAGATTGTATCCTCTACTTCTAACTTCACAAAAACTCAAATCCTTCTTTTCTCCAACTGACAATCTCATTCCAAGACTATAAAAATCAGGAAAAATCAGCAACGAAAATCAGAAGATCATATGATATGCCAAATACCCACAATTATTAAGCAAAAGTGAAGAGCTAACATGGATTGAAACTGTAAGATTTAGCATGTTGTACCAATAAGAACCTTAGAAAGAGAAACTACTAGCTCAAAGAAGAGGTAGAGAAAGAGGGAGAGAGAAACCCACCAAATTGGAGATTGCCTAGATGCTCTTTGTCGGTTCTGAGTTGGCTGTTTCATGTAATAGAGATAGAGATGGAGAACGAGAAAGAAGAAAAATGACGCTGAACTAAATGCCCAATGTTGAACTATATATCATGGGATTTTCAGCATCTGTTACACAGAGTACGTTGACTATTTGTCTGTGTCTTTGTGGGACCATTGTTGTCAAAACCCCCAATCACAACCGTTCATCTGCTGGAACCCATTTTCTCACCAACCACAACCGTTGACTGATTAATTATCGTTCTAATTTTCTTTAGAATTTCTTACTTTGTATTGAGAATGCACATTAATACAATAAATCTAATTTTAATTTACGGAAATTTATCTAAATTTTGAGAAAATTGAAGAAATATATATGACCAGAGAATATCAATCTTCAAAAACACACATTTACTAGAAAGAAGTGTAGTACTTATCATGCAGCTCCACTTACCCAAAAAAAAAAAAAAAAAAAACTTAGCATACAGGTCCTAGGGGTAGTTAGGTAATAAATTGGGATTTACACTTTGACCCCTCATATATGGGTCTAATCTCACTTTTGAACGGGTGATTGCTCACGTTACGATTACACTCTCTATTACTTGAGTTTGACCATAAAAACGTGAAAAATGTATTAGTTGAGGGCAATGTGAAATCAATAACCATAATTGGAGGCACAACGTAAAAAACACGATGATGGAGGGGGGGGGAGTGAGACATGGAGCATAATTGAGGGTCAAAATGTAATTTTTTCAATAAATTAGGAACATTGCTTTTTTTTTTTTTTTTTTGGTTTTCTAAATTTATATTTCAATTATTTAGTAACAAAAAATTAACAATTTTTATGTAGTATCTTAAACTAAAAAATAAAATCTTGTTTAATCCCAATTAATTAATATTTAGACAAAGTAGTTTGAGTACACACCCAATATTTGGCCTTATTTACATAAAATGGTTGCACTATCATATTCAAATCAACAACCTCAAAGTTATGAGTAACTAGGGTTAAGTCGTGCCCGTACAAAATAACGTAAGTGAGAAATTATAAAATTTTAGGAGAGAATTCAACGTGAATGGTTTTAAGAGAGATATTAGTGGCTGTTAGATAAGTCTATTTGAAACTGTCGAATGAGTTTATTAAAATCCGTCTTATTTTATATTATAGATGCTACATAGAGTTAAAAATTAGATTTGATAATCACAATCATTAAATAGTAATGAGTCTCAATAAATGTTGAGATTCATAGTAAAATCAATAGTTGTAATTATCAAGTTTACTTTTTAAATCTATTTTTAAAATTTATGTAGCATTAGTTTGAAGTCCCTGTATTTACTAATATTGATCCATCGAACCGACAACCACCTTTAATTTAGTATATTATCTTTAAAAAAAATCAATATTTAATTAATAAGACCCGATCTCAAATCAAATAACCATTTTTTTTTTTTTGGAAATTGATTAATTCATTTTGACCTTTTTAATAGTCGTAGTCGCGGAGAACAATTGTTGAACGACTCTTAGGTGGAGAGAGGATTGCGAATGGGACCCACGTACATGGATGCTTTTTTCTTTGGCAGTCTTTATATATACCGAAGCCCACGCGGAAATTTGACCCGATAAAATAAAAAAAGAACAAAGAAGATTTAAAATAATATAGTGGGGAGGGTGAACTGGGGACTGAGTCTGAGTGTTAACAGGGGCGGGGCAGGGCAGGAAGCTACGGCGATGCCAAGGGAGCCAATCCTAGTTGTAATGAAGGTCACCGCTTGCCTGCTGCTTCTGAGAAAGAAGGTCAGCACAGATGAGATGACTACATACATACATACATACATACATACATACATACATACATGGTCATTGATAATTCTTTGAGGTTTGTCTTATTATAATATTAATTACATAATCAATTATTAAATTGACAGAATTTTGAGATCCAAGTTACGTGGCAAAAAATAATAAGGGACTGCTTTAATGACACGAAAGTGGCAAAAGACCAAAATATCCCGGTTCTTAAAAAATGGGTTTTGGTTTTTTTTTTTTTTTTGCGGGGGGAGGGGAGGGGAGGGGAGAGACTGTACTACACAGGCTCCCACATCTTTTGAAAAATACTTTTTGATCCCTTAAGTTTTTTGAAAAAATTCTAATGAGGATATGATCATAAAGATGAACATTTCTCTTACAAACGAAAAATTCTTGTTTTGATGAGTTTGATGGCCAATAGGAAAAAAAATAGTAAATCACTATAAAAATGGGTTAAAATCGTGATTTATATCTAATAGTGGTGTTAGTTTTTTTTTTTTTTTGATCAAATAGTGGTGTTAGTCTAACTTAAAATAAATATGACCAAATTCAGTAGCAGAATAATGTGGTTCTAATATGACAATACCAAAAAAGTAAAATTTATAAGTCAAAATTTAAGCTGAACTTCATAATTTCAATTTGTTATAGAGATTAGGGGTGAGGTAATCATACTAAAGAAGGCTATAAAGAGTAGTGGTTCAACGCAGATAGTTTGAATCAAGCGAAACCAAAGGTATTCGTTCTACAACACATTTTTCTTTTTTTGATACAGCTCGCGACCTACAAAAATTTCAGCCCACTCGCCACAGTCCACTCGTTCACTCGCTGCTTCAAGTAAAGTACTTGATACTCTCTTGCAATCTATTAATCTCCCTTTGTCACAATAGAAAAAACTTGTTAGATACTCTTTTTGCAACACAACATAAGAACGAGTAAAATAAGATAAAGAAGAGCCTTCGTTCAGGCGTAGATAAAAAATCAATCTTTCCTGTTTGGCCTTCAAGTTGAGATATGGGGGAAGTAACCAACCTGATATGAGAAGAAGCAGCAGATCGAACTGCACAATTTTTTAAGCATTTAATTGTGTGATTCAGTTTTCTAGTTCAATGGGACAACTGAACAACTTTTTAAATAGTTAATTGTAGAATTCAATTTCTTATTTCAATGGGACAACACGTTTGAATTGTGGACTACAATTTATTCTTTCATTCAATGGCTTGTGTTCTAAAAACTTTGTCAAACCCCACACATGGATGTGTATGTGCAGTGTGAAATTGATGTTACACAATAATACCCACAATGTGTCACACCTTACATATGATGTTTATATGCAGTGTGACAAAGTATGCGACTGCTGAGAGAATTTTTTTTGGGTAGATGTTGCGTACCGTTGGAATTTCAAATGTTCTCCTTAAATCAAGTGATCTCCAGCAGCCAATGGTGGAGACTTGTGAACAGTTGCGACATATTCCCCTTTTTCTCGCTAGTTTTCTTATATGAATGAAAAACCTTTTCAATTTAAAAAAAAAGTATTTTTGACTTCACCTATAGTGGGTGAACTTTTTTACAAATGTTTTTAAAAGGTGTATTTTTTCCCAAATAATTTTAATATTGTGTACCGGCTCCCTATTTTCCCAAAAATAAAAGCGCACACAAAATCATATCAACAAAACTCATTTTATTTATTATTAAATCTTTATCCTAATTACTTATTGTATCTCCAACTGTGACTCAATTTTTTTATTAAAATTTGAATCAACATTTGAGTAAAAAGTTTGATTTGATACAAAGAGCTTCAATAGATAAACTCTAATTTTAAGGAAGATAGACTCAAATTTAAAGGAGGGTCAAATATAACTATTGAACATGCCCTATGTTTAGTTCAGGTACAAATAAAAAAATGAGATTGATAATTAGTTCTTATCCAATCTATAAAATGATATCAACTATCATTGTATAACAAGTTTAGATCAAGGTTGAGATCATATATAAATATATAATTATTGTGACTCTAAGTTTACAAAGATAATAAAGTCATTACATTTTTAATACTTAACTTGTTAAAAATGATACCACCTCCTACCTGGTATTCATTACTATCTAATATTAGATATTAAATGACAATAATGAATTGGGTCAAGATTAATTAAAATGAATACTGATTTGCTATAATCTCATCCAAACTTAGTATTATATTATTCTATAATTAAATTAATCTAATCCACCCCTTTAATACCTAAACTAAACATACCCTTGATGAAAAATAAAATCTGATCATTGATAATTTGAATAAAGTTTTGAGTCTCTCTTGATTTGATATGAATAAAAAAATTTGAATCTTTTAATTTGGTATGAATTCAGATATAGGATTGGAGAAGGTATTTGAGCTATTTTATCCAAATTTAAATTTAGGTCTAACAAAAAATAAGAATTGAAGATGCTCTTAGAACAACTGATCATAGGAGAATAAAAATTTCAACATCAAGGTAAGCAAAGAAAGACCATAGACATATCAACCATACTCAAATCTCATCTTACTTCAATGACTCAACTGATACCTAGGGAGTGTTGGCTGGTGAAGGCAATGGGCATCAATTAGGGAGTAGATTAGGGTTTGTGAAACTAATGAAGGCTTGAGGGCATAGACTGCATTCAAAACTTTCATTAACAACATGATGGCTTAAAGCCTTGTTCTTGGCCTTCGAGAAGTCTCAATCACCTCTTTCCCTTGTTTGGCATTTGGATCTTATCAAAATGTTACTCATGCAGCCCTAGAAATGAAAAATGACTCTTCTCCTTTGACATTTTCAAAACAAGATACAATAATTTCAGTTGCACCCACAAATCAATGATGACATCAGAAATATTGTGTCTAGTTTCATATTGCCATCCCAAATCCCTGCACAACCACACTCAATATGTTCCTGAGGTACGTAAAATTCGACAAAGTCGCTTAAAGCAAGAACGGAATTTGAATAAAAAGTAGAAAAAAACCTCAACATTGCAGAAGAACTAACAGTAACTGCATTAAATTATCTCTGCTTTGATTTTAAAGGAACACCTTCGTACATCTTAACTTTTTCCTTCAATGCATCTCGCCTAGGCCGTGCCAGTTTGTTGTTAGGATCAAAAAGGAGGACTTCTTCAAATGCCTTAAGAGCAGACTTAATTTCTTTCTTCTTCTCATAGGCATCACCAAGGTTATTCCATGCAGTGACATAGCCTGGTTGAAGTTTCACAGCATTCTCAAACTGAGTGATTCCTTTGTCAACCTTCCCATCAAGGACATAACTAACACCAAGGGCATTGTAAACCTGCGAAATAGTCCAGGGAAAAATGATCATCATTAAATCATTCGAAAAACATCAAGAAGATGCCCAAGAATGACCTCCGGGTTTTTTCTTTTCCTTTTTCATTTTGATTTCTAACAATTACCATCTTTCCCATAAAACTTGTATATTTTGCTTGATTTCTTGATCCAACCAGAGAAAAGAGATATATTCTTCATTAAGCCTAACAAAACTCAAATACAACAATGGTGATGGAACTTAAGACATAAACAAGAATGGGAACACACAAGACTGCTGACTGTTGGAGCTCACCTGCTAGAGAATTGTGTTATTACCTAACAACAATACTAAATAGTGAGAGGAACTTCGTCCTCCTCTAAGGAGTTGACAGTGCAGATTACTCCTCTATTTTCTGGTGTGAAGTACGTAAAAAAGCTTCAATGATTTCCTTTTCCTAGATGTGGGATAAATCATATATAGACTAGGGTTACTGCTACTTACCTTATGCTATACATACATCACCACATAAGTGGATTGCAATTGCCAATCCTGCTTAGATACTTGTTTTGTACATATGCTCAGAACCCATTGTACCACTGGATTCGATATCGAATTTGTGACCTATTGGTGATCCTCCTGGATCATCATAATAGAGGATTAATACATGGAAATCATTGGCTTTTCACCGGATACATGTCTATGTAAGATGAACCGTGTCACCATAGTCATACTTAAGCAAACTTAGTTGACCATGGTAAAAAGAATAAACACGTCTTAAATCAGAACAACTAAAGCACCCAGTTTCCTCCCAAATCCCAATATCCCCATTTTGTTTCATTATGACTAAAAAATGCCATGTCATTATATTTAGCTTTCAGTCAGTTTTCTCTCCTTCATTTCCTCATAGTGCCAGTTGCCACTTAATTCAAAGTTCCTGTTTTGCCACAGATCCATTTCAAAAGTCACATTCCAACCACCTTCATTTAAAGAACATGTTCTCTGGCTGCAAGCATTACCTTATAACATACAGAGTAGTTGGCCTTCAAACAGTTCCTATAACATTCTTTTCAGCTTCAAAATATTTGCTGATTGTCTGCAGAACTTCAAAAGTACTCCTCGATTATATACCGTTTAGTTATCTGCTCTCTTGCCCTTCCTCTGAAGCATTGAGCTTACTGAATAAGAATAATCATTTTCAGATGCTTCTTTTGCCCATCAAACTTCACTACTACCTAACTATCTCATGTTCTTAAATACACCTTCCAAAAATAAAGTTTTAATCCCGCATATCTTGAACCCTCTTAGTTTTGTACCTTCTCCTCAGATTTAGCCTAGGATATACCTCAATTTTTTCATATATACCACATATTTCTAGAGCATCTATCCAGGGTTTCTCCAAGTAAGAATATACCAATTCTTTCTTCTTCCATATGATTACTATGACTTTCCAAAGACAGACGATATGTACGATAATTTCTTGTTGGATCCAAAAAGAATTTGAATTGAGACAGTGGCAAAAGAAGTGATAAACAAGGAATTCATAGATGATAAAAAAAACCGTCATCGTCCTATCTTTCTTTTATTTGCAAAAAAATAGTTGCCCAAAGAATGCGGCTTGTATTCTTATGCCTGACAGCCCAGTCTCTTAACATTGCACCAAGCCATGCTTCTGCCTTTTCTAATCTGAAACTGAACTTAAAAAGTGGTCCCTAGAGTCAATCCCAAGTATTTGGAGCTAAAAGCTTTGAGTTGTTGGATGGTGTCAACTGAAAAACATCAACCTGAGATTCTAAGAAGTAATAAGTCATACTTTCAAGGTACAAGTGGGACCAAGGCAGCATGCATACCACGCGACCTCAGATAAAACCAGACCCAGAAAAAAAGGGGGGAGGGAACCTTCACACAAAGCCACCATAGAAATATAACATCCATCAGGGTTAAGATTGATAATTAGTGAGGGAGATATTTCTCAATGGTACAGACTACATGGCAAAAGTGAAAATTTACATACATGGTTTAATGAAGTAACCCTTTTATGATCAAACAATTGAGAAGGTTCTTTAAGACAGTAATATAAGTCTAAAGATGAATTCGTAACGAGTCCATCACTGCCAGTAGATGGCACAAAATAGAGCACTTTTTCTTTTCAACCTAAGCAAGAAGATCTGACTGACCTCTACATAGTCCAGACCATCCAGAACCAGGAATACAATACTTTCAACATTGGAAAATCACTATTTTTTGACCGGAGCCAAAACATGTCAAGCTATGCGCATCCAACACAGTACTATTTTTGTTTGTAGGATATTAAGATCAGAAATAGTATCATACTTGGGCAAGATCCTGATCATCTCCATCCCATTTTTCAATAGCCTGAAGCAAGTACTTAATAGCAGCTGGGTAAAATTTTCTCCTTAACATCACTGCTCCAAGTTCAAAAAACTCCATCGCACTAGCATCGCCACTTCTTACCTGCTCCTGAGATTTATTTTAGAAAGCAAAACATGAGAGAGAGAGAGAGAGAAGCATCATTGATGTTCCCATGAAGACGAGAAAATAAACTTCAAAAGATAGCTAGCGCACAAAAATAAACTAAGTTCCTGTTAAAAGCCTGAAACAGATAAAATTCCACAATCATTTTGGGTTCCAATCATAGAAGTAGTTAACAATTTATCAAGTAAACATACATCCATTAAGGCACATATTAATTAGAAGCCTACAGCACACCCTTGATATTTGGATATCTGGGTAGGAGAGATTAAAGCTACTTTATTTAGTAGTGTTATAGTGAAGTTAACTTAGTTTAATGTCCTAGTTAAGCACTTGTTTACTTGTTTGGAATAATCGAGTTGTGGTTAGATTGGAAAATCCTTTGTCTTGGAAAAATAAGGCAATCCTCTTTCTGATATGAAAGTTTTAACATCTCTATATAAGAAAGACTTGCATAGGCAATTGAACAACTTTAACCAATAAAATTTGATGCACATATTCGTGTTTTTCAACGGGTATCATTAATATCTTTCAGGTGAGACTCCAAGAAGGCCTCAGAAATATTACAAAATTTCAGTTATTTCCAGCATGCTGTGCATAATTAAATCCTAATCAGCCTTCAATGAACCCATTTCAAGCCCAAAGCCCAAAAACTTTAGTGCTGAAACACTAACACTATTTTGTCGTACCATTGTAGTGCTTCGCATAAAAACATGGAAGCCATGCTAAGTTCAGTTGGAACTCTTGTTTTGTTCCAAACCATCTCGGAATGTTTCATTCCTGCATGAGCCTTTAAATACACCAGTCCCTTATTTCAGGGAGGCCTGTGTTAAGAATGCCCAGGGAAGAGGGAAAAGACGCCTATGAACAAGGACCAAAACTTCATTTCGGTGTATTGTTTGGGTCACCTCGGAAACGGAAACTCTTCAGAAATGTTTCAAAAACAAAATGAAAACATGTAAAAAAATTAGGTATCTATTTTAAAAATATTTTGCAAAATATTAATAAAAATATACTAAAATATCTTGAAACATGTCGAAACACCTTGAAACATTCCGACACACCTCAAAGTATTGTAATTTCGATTCAATGATTGATTCGTTTTGGCCTCTCTGAAAATAAAAACGTTTTGACCATTTCAAAACAAAATTTAGTTCTTTGCATATGAATAGATCACACTCCCTTGCATTGGATTGAGTCTGAGTGTTAGACGTTACCTTGCTGTCCAAAGTTTCTAGCAACCTGTATCATTTATGTTAATGTCAAATTAAGCCTCAAAAAGCCAAGTTAAGCCTAAACTCCATTCTTAAGCCTAAACTTAACTTTTTCATCATAAACCCTGAAAATTAAAGTCTTAGTCTACCATTATTTGACAGTAAAATTCCATTGCTCAAGGCTCAGTCTACATCAAGAAGCTTTGAGAGGGTCCAACACCAAGTGACTTGAAGGTGATGTATTTTACTGTTGGAGATTTACTTTCCTATTGTTAGAGATTTTCTTTTCTATTTTACTTTTACTTTCCTATTATGTTGTTTCTTGTTATGTTCTACTTTCCTAATATTATAATTGTTTTCAATATCAATCAATGTAAATAGGTGATAGGATGTTGGTAGCACACATCCTACTGTTCACCGCGATTGTTCATCGTGTGGTTATTGTCCATCGTAAAACTACTGCTTGTACGAAGATCTTTGGATCCTAAATCATTTCTAAGAAGAAGTGATGACCGGTGGTTGAGTTCCTTTGGCTGTGATTGTTATTTGTCGACGTTGAGATTACAATTGTCTCATTGCTATAATACTTGTTTGTCTTGATACTTGGGTAACAATTTTGTAGAAACGAGGGATTTGATTAAAACCCTAATATGTGTTTGTGATTGACCCATTTGTTTAGGTCACTGGAAGTCTCAATGTCCTAAATTGGTGAATAAGAATGCCAAAAGGGCCTTACAGCAGCCATTTAGGCCCAAAGATCATCATACAGCCACAACTACTTCACCAGTGGATGAGACACTTCCATCAGCTCCTAGCATGACTATGATAGCTGATCAATTGCTGAAGCTTATTTCCCTTCATCAACCAGGTGCTCTATCAGTTTCTCCTTCCATAGGTTCATTTACTACAGGACCTTCAGGTATCTCTCGAACTGCCTGGGTCTTTGACTCAGGAGCCACCCATCATATGGCCAGTAATTCTTCCTTATTTTTTTTATTATTTCCCCACCCTCTATATCTATCCTTGCAGCCAATGACACCCAAATGTCTTTGGCTGGTGTTGGAACTATCGTCTTTTCCCAGCTTACACTTCCTGATGTCTACTATATTTCTCAACTTACTTTAAATTTAATATCTGTTAGTCAGTTGTTTGATTCCAGATTTTTAGTTCATTTTTCTTCTACTGGTTGTGTTGTGCAGGATCCACGGTCCAAGAAGCTAATTGGGACAGACCATAGAAATAGAGGGCTATATGTGTTGGATGAATTTCATGTTCTTGAAGTTGTTGCATCTACTATTGATTTATCTTCTTTTCAATTGAGTCTAAAATCGTCTAGTTTTTATTTATGGCATTCTCGTTTAGGTCATGTTTTTATTCTCGTTTAAAATTTTTAACTTCTACTAGTAGTTTGGGTAGTTTAGAGTGTCATGATTTTTCAGATTGTAGTGGCTGCAAGTTAGCTAAATTTATTGCATTACCTTTCAATAAAAGTAATTCTTGTTTTCTTGCACTCTTTGATCTTGTACATTTTGATATTTGGGGACCAACTCCTATTGCTACTAAAGGGGGGTCTAGATAATATGTTTCTTTTATTGATGATCATACCAGATATTGTTGGGTGTATCTACTGACACGTAGGTCTGAGTTCTTTTCCATTTTCTCTACCTTTCGTGTTATGGTGCGTACTCAATATTCTTCTATCATCAAATGTTTTCGCTGTGATCAAGGTGGAGAATATTCTTTTAGTGTTTTTCGTGATTTGTTGAAATCTGATGGTACTGTCTTTCAGTCTTCTTGTACTGACACACCTGCTTAGAATGGAGTGGCAGAACGGAAACATCATCACATTATTGACACAACTCGTTCTCTGTTGCTATCATCCAGTGTCCCTAGCTCTTTTTAGGAAGAAGCAGTTCTTACAGCAGTTCATTTGATTAATTGCATTCCTACAATCCTTAATTCTGGTGTCTCACCTTTTGAAAAACTATGTGGTAAGACACCTGACTATTTCCCATTACGTGTGTTTGGATGTACATGTTTTGTTTGATACCTAGTGTTAATCGTACAAAACTCTCAGCTCGTTCAGCCTTATGTGTTTTTCTTGGCTATGGTGAGGGACAAAAGGGATTTCGGTGTTATGATCCTAGTACACAAAAACTTTATGTTTCTCGCCATGTTGTTTTTATAGAACATATTCCTTTTTTCTCTATTCCATCTAGTTATTCGTCTCTGCATAAATCTGATCTTATCTATCTTGATCCCTTTCTCTCTAATGTCCTGATTCCTATGTTGGTGATATAACTGTCAAGGTTCAAAGTATCGGCCGAGTCGGATACAACTTGGCCGAGTCGTATCCGCCTCGGCAGGCAGTGATACGATAACGATACACGATACAAGACTATCACGAGTCTACCATGAATCGGTTCTGACTCGGGCCAACTCGATTCAACTCGGACAAACTCAGATTTGAGTCGGTCCAACTCGGACAAACTCGGCCGATTCACTTTCAAATCGACCTAATACGCACAACAAAGAAAATGCCAAAAAAAAAAGGCAAAAAAGAAGAGGAATTGAACCCTAAATCAGACCTCTTTTACCATAATAAAAATAAAAGAAGAACGAATAGATCACAGACCTGAAAATTTGTAATAAATCTCCCCAATCAGAGACCCTTTTACACTAATTGTTCCTACTTTCCTTCTTCTTTGCAGTAGTAAAGGACCCAGGTACAGAAACCGCGGATCAACGATCAACATCACGGATCAATTGCAGAAACCCTAGGCTACTCGATGATTGGACTACTCGAGTAGCAAGAGATCCAGCTTCAACGACGATGAGTCTCGAGTAGCAGAGACCCATCGTCTCTGTGCTTCCTCTCTCTCTCTCTCCCTCTCTTTCTCTCTCTACGTTGGTCGAAGTCCGACTGTCTAAGAGTTGGTGGGTTGAGGCTTTGCCTTATGAGACCAAAAAATTTAATTCCCTCCCCCCTTCTTTTTGTTTTTTTTGGTTTTAGCCCAAACTTTTTAATTATATAACTTTTAGTATTTATCATATAATTTAATGAGAACTTAACTTCTTAAGTTTGTTTTTGTATATGTATTGATGACTTAATAATTAAATGTACATAATGGAGAAAATACATATAATCATCATGCATAAAATACATATACATATAATCGATCTAATCAAGTACATTATAAATAATTAAATGAAGAATTATACACTTATATTTTTTTTTATAATTTTTAAAAATTACAAATTAAATTATATTAACCTTGAATATAGATGATAATAAATATTTTTCGGTAACATCCTTATTATTCTTTTTTGAAATGATTAATGTGTTAAATAATGTATTTTAGGGATATGGTGCATTGATGATAATGTTTACATTTATTACAATTTTTTTATTTTTTTTAAATTTTTTTGAGCCTTTTATATAGTGTTTTGCCCGTATCGACCGATACTGCGCCGCGACCGATGTGTCTCAGTGGCCTCCGAGTCAAGGGCCGATACCGCGACCTTGAACCATGATGACTGTGGTTGATCTTCCCTCATTTTCTTCTTCTTCTTTGTTTGATTTGTCTGTTACCCGTTCCCCGATTGTGCATACTTATGTTCGCAGGACTCCTACTGTCTCCTCCACAGATGTTGTGCCTTCATCTGCACCTCTTGACTCCTAATCAATTTCTGACACTGTGGATCACACTCCCTGTTACCCTCAGCGCACTCAGAAGTGTCCTGACAGGTTTGGTTGGTCTAACTCTTGCTATTCCTCTACTTTTTGTTATTTCCTAACTTCTATACATTCTTTGTCTGAACCAACCTCCTATAAAGAGGCTATACTTGATCCTCTTTGGCAACAGGCAATGGATGAGGAGCTTTCTGTGCTATATAAGACTCGAGCTTGGGATTTGGTGCCTTTACCTCATGGTAAACGCCACATTGGTTGTAAGTGGGTTTATAAAATCAAAACTCAATCTGATGGTTCTGTGGAAAGGTACAAGACTAGATTAGTAGCCAAGGGTTTTGCTCAAGAGTATGAGCTTGACTATGATGAGACTTTTGCTTCAGTGGCTAAGATGACCACGATTTGCACAGTTATTACTGTAGCAACTGTTCGTTAGTAGAGCTTATTCCAGATGGATGTGAAAAATACTTTCCTTCATGGTGATTTGTCTGAAGAGATCTATATGACTCCTCCTCCTGGGTTGTCTTGTAGTCTTGGTCATGTCTGCAAACTTCACAAGGCTTTATGGTCTTAAACAGGACCCGAGGGCATGGTTTGTAAAATTTTCTTCAGTCATATGTGACTTAGGCTTTTGTAGTAGTGATCATGATTCTACTCTCTTTCTTTGATCCACTTCTTCTGGTTTCATACTTCTATTATTTTATGTGGATGACATGATTATTACAGGTGATGACAACGCTAGAATTCAATTGTTGAAAACTCAGTTACAGAATTATCTTGAGATGAA